TGCCTGTTGAAATAACCAGAACAGGTGTTCGGCGCGCTGACTGTCACCTTCCATTTGCATGATATCTGACCAATCTAAGGGTTCAATACCATCTGATGATATGGTGTCGGTGTCGGCGCCGGAGTCGAAATCGCCATTTCCTAAGTAGGTGGATACACCGTCGTTTAGGGGATTCGCTTCCCCCCACAAGGAACGGCGTGGTTGAGGTTCTCTAGGAGGAGGGCTGGTTGCCCAGCTTGGTTGTGATCGATCCCCTGTTAGTAGGGCAGTAGACTCTCCAGGATCGTCGGCCCATATGCTTGCGGGCCCGTTGCCAGGCTGAGCTCCGGCGGTTAAGGTAGTATAGAAATGTCCACTACCAGTTCCCCTTCCCCCCCCAAACACTGGTCCTACGTTGCCAGGAGACCGTTCTGACAAATGGCCTATCGAGCGCATCCTCTCGCACAACTCATCATACTGTTGTTGTGTTCGGGGCATTTGGTGGTTAAGTGGCTGCAAGAGTTGCATGGCTCTCTGGTTGCCGACGCCTAGGGCGCGGAATAGGGTAGTAGTGAGCAGTTGGAAGTTGGGGAGGTCACACCCCACCGACTGTGCCTCAAGACGGGCCATCTCGAACCGAGTGAGGGTTACATCGAGTCGTTCTCCGTGAGGCACATGAAAGTCGATGAGCTGTGTGCCTGAAGTGAGCTGGCGCTCATCTTCCAGGCGTTCGAACTTCATGCTTAAGAGGAACATGATGTAGGTTACTGGGTCGGTGTGGACACCATCGATGTCCGCACCGTAGCTGATAATGTCAGGTGGTACCCTCATGGCGAGTGTCCTCGCTAGGCCACCCAGGCCGCGTTGTATGGCGGCTGCTTGGGCCTGTGGCGTCATGCGTCCGCTTGTGACGTTGAGCAACGCGTTGACCTCATAAACGTACTCGCGGAAAGGTACGTTGCCTTGAGGGTCCCAGTATGGGCCATGTGTTTGCCCATCGGTGCTGTTGTCTCCTCGGCGCATGTGCCCGATTGTTGCCCCCAGCGCAAAACATATGATGGCGAAGATAACCAACCCAAGGTTGTGAAGATATGGGTGGTTATCAGGCGCGTTGCCGCGCTGGGGTAGCGCCTTGTCAAGTCTTCGAGGCGCTTTATCTTGCGGGTCTCCCCGCCTCTGCTTCAAGTACTGCGTTTTTGGCTCGTTGCCGAGCGGTTGGTAGTAGCGTAGTGATGAAGCGTATATGGTACCAATGTTGTTGTCTAGACGTCGTACTTCTCGTGTTGCTTCTTGCTCTTGAATTGATCATCGTAAATGTAGTTGGAGTGGTGGCGCAGGGTGGTAGTTGGTCACGAAGATCGTGCCGGAAAGCGTGAGGATAAGAAGAGCAAGAGCTGACCACACGAGGGTGCGGCCAGCTCCGCTACCAAGTCTGAAGTGACTATGGTAAGTCAAATAGAATCCGATTCCATGGGAAGCGGATGGCAGATAGCGTCCAATGCCATGCTGGGGTAGTTCAGTATGGGGAATGGACGGATAAGATAGGAAAAGATCGATGTAGTGATTTTCCAGCACATAGCGAACACCAGCAGTGTCCGGGCAAATAGGGCGCGCGTGCCTTGAGCCAAAGGCAACGGCGCGCGAGCTATACTCCCGGTCCTATATAACATCTCCCAAAGAGCTACCCTTAAAGTGTCAAATGATGAAGAGGCAGGAGGCGGAGAAGGAGGAGGAGGAGGGACGGAGGAGTAAGTATAACATGTTGTGCACTTACGTCTCTCACTGGTGAAGCACAGCGAATGGGGCCAATCCACGGTCCCAGCAACCCTCCAAACTTCCCTTCTTCCTACAGGAAGGAGGTGCACGGTTTCCCCCGGAGCCGTAGGAGGTGGAGGAGGGGAGGGGGAAGAGGAGATGGAGGAGGAGGAGGAGGAGGAGGTGGAGGAGGAAGTGGAGGAGGAGGGAGGAGGAGGAGGAGGAGGAGGAGGAGGAGGAAGAGGTGGAGGAGGACGGGTCACCTCAGCCCTTCGGAGAAGCCCTCCAGAAGGGGGGAGGAGGTCAGGTCACCACGGAGGAAAAGGTCGCCAGGCCGACCTTCGCAAAGAAGCGGGAGACAGAGCGGGCGCAGCTGCCACTCCCCTGCGCCCGCCAGATCGAAACCTTCCCAGGCCATTCCGACGTGCTGGTCGGGAACGCTAAATTCGGCGGTGGACAAACCTCCCTTTAGCAAGCCACCCTCTAATGAAAACGGCCAGAGACCGACACCGACGGACCCGGACCCGCAAAACAGACGGCGGCGATGCCCTCTCGCGGACCGAAACAGCCAATTCGCTAATCGACGTGTCAGGGTAGGACCGTACATGGACATTGTATTCGAACCCTGTGGCCCAAGATGCTCCCCCAGACCCCAAAAAAATCATATTGATGGCGTGGCGACGGGGGGGCGTGAGTGGACAGAAATATTCGAACCCCAAAGCACCGCCTTTACTGAGATCAACATTGATGTCGGGGGCGCGGGGGCGATTTCGAATCTCCCTCGAATGTTTAAGAGTTCGGAAATATTGTCCATCTACTGGAGGTCTATCAACCCCCAATACACTGGATAGATTAGCAGAAAAGTATGAATGCGAACTTCCGGATGCCAGCGTGGAGCTCCTGGGTCGGCGCTGGACCCCCCAGACCCACGTCCCGCTCCCTGTCGCACGGAGCGGCGCCAGGGAGTCTGGCGCCGACCCACGACATCCGCGCGGACCTCCGAAAGAGTCGATGCTTACTGCGGACTCCATGCATAGATGTGGGGGAGATCACAGCCCTCCGAGAAAGCAGTGATTCTGGATCCCCCCCAGAACCAGCCATGAAGGGGCGTCTTTCTGCCTGGACCCCCCGAACCCCCCAAGACAACTCAAAATCCGAGCCCGACCGCAAGGCAGATCGCTCCCCTTTAGTCCGAAACCCAACGTACCCGATCTTCCAGGGAGGGGGGGGAAGGCCTCCTGGGGAAGGCCTCCTAGGGCAGACCTCCTGCCTCCCTCCTTGGGGAAAGCCTTCGGGGATGACCTCTTGGGGAAGGCCTCCCTGGGAAGGCCTTCTGGGGAAGGCCTCCCTCCTGGGGAAGGCCTCCTGGGACAGGCCTTCAGGGCAAGGCCTTCAGGGCAAGGCCTTCTGGGGAAGGCCTCCTGGGCAAGGCCCTCTGGTACCCGACGCCTTGCAGCTCCTGCTTGTCTCGACTGCCTCTGAGCGGCGGCGCGGCGAGCATGGGCGCGGCGTCGTCTCCTCCAGGCCATGATCTGCGCCGCGCGGTCCTCTGGGCGGCGCCTCGTCGTCGTCGTCCTCCTCCTCCTCCTCCTCCTCCTCCTCCTCCTCCTCCTCCTCCCTCCTGCTCCTCCTCCTCCCTCCTCCTCCCTCCTCCTCCTCCCTCCTCCTCCTCCCTCCTCCTCCTCTTCCTCCTCCTCTTCCCTCCTCCTCCTCCTCCTCTCCCCTCCTCCTCCTCCTCCTCTCCCTCCTCCTCCTCCTCCTCGGTATTCATCTGCCTCGTTCGGCGGGGCCCCGCTTCGCAGGTGCTGCCTCCTGCGTGCGTTCCGAACTTCGATCCTTCGGTTCCCAGCCAACCTGCTCATCATGACCTTTTCTTCCTCCACCTCTTCCTCGTCTCCTAAAACCCCTCAGAAGCACCCCCCCCCAAAACCCAGAATCCGCGAACTAGCTCTAAAGCCTGACCCCTCCTTTACAAGCCATGCCTCCCTGCATGCAACTATTTGTCTGCCCAACAATGAAGCCACTCCAAGAAGCTGAGGACCGTGAACACACCGGGTCAGGCCATGAAAACAAGCATGGGTGGCGTCACTACAAGGTCATGCCTGCGTCTCCTTTCAAGCGCGCCTCGCGACACATACTGGTCGCGTAGCTTGGCGCATCTGGACATTACAGCGTCTGGCGCACGAAAGATTGCCCAAGATTGGGGCCCCTGTCTCGCGTCGGTCACGCTGGGGTTCTGCGACTTGCACCCTGACATCTTTGTGCCGAGCACACATGAATAGGCTCGTTTGTTACCACGCAGATCGCAGGGGCTACAACAGACGTGGGCACGGTACGCATTGATGCATGAAACACGGCGATAATCACCGTCGTCCTTGTTTACGGAACTCGCCAGGCTACCCTGACAATTCAACAGGCATGGCCTTGAACACCGGGAGCACGCCTTCTACATGTGTTCACCGTCTCTCTCTCTCCTCTCTCTCTCTCTGACTGCTCAAAGCCATGCCTGAGGCAGTGGACCTCTGGAGCCGTACCGCTTGGACTCGGGGCGCCTGATGGATCACGTATCTAGAGGCCGCCCAGATGGAGTCGGAGCAGCAGGGGTCGGCGGATCGCGCCAGCGTCGCCCCGACACATCACCGATGCATCGGCGCATGCATCGACAGTGCATCGGCGACGCCGGCGCGGAGACGATCGGGCTGCGGGCTCAACATCGAGCAGCATCGCCGATTGAGTATCGTTTAACCGATCCCCATCCCCAGCGGCGTGGCCTGGGCCCCACTGGCCGATTTACCTCCCCAGATGGCGATGTATGTCGTTCCTTTCGAATTTCGAGGGGTGTATCCCCAACTGGGGTGGTAATTTGGTGGGGGTCTCGAAGGGGATGGGGATGGGGATGGGGATTGGGTAAACGATACCGACCGATGCAGCGGCGAGGCGGCGCGAGCCTCCGACCCTGTCTGCTCCGACCCCACCTCGGAGGCCGCCGGGGGCGTCCGCACGCGCGCGCGCCCGCGCGCGCACAGACCCGCAGTGCGGCAAGGCCGAGGCCGCCTCGACGATCGACGGCAGGGCTGGACCTAAACAGAGTTCCGTTTTGTTTTCGTGCTTCCTCGTTTTGTCTTGAATTCGCCTTTGCTGCAAGACGACATCGAAACGAAAACGGCCCACGAAATCGCAAAAAACACCGTTTAGGTCCACCCCTGGATCGACGCCCGATCCGTGCCCCGGCTGCTGCCATCCAGCCTGGGCGCCCCCCGCCCGGC